GCTTCCGGTATATTGTATTTTCTCATTTTTAATTCTGCCTGAAGTGTACTTTTTATAAAATGATATAGTGTTTGCTGCAAAGAGATCGGAGTCAAGCAGCACAACTTGTATGTCATGGTGGGTGGTAAAACATGTTTATAAGTCATCTTAACTATAAAGAGACATTAGAAGCCAAGATATCTTTTGTGGTTACAAGTTATAATCTGTTTATTGTATTGATAACAGCTGATAGGAAGGCATGGACTCCTTTCCTTTAACAAGACAATTGACTTAAAACCGTTTTTTTAGTGTAATTTACTTACAGTATATGCGTGAAAGAGAACAATATAATTCTATGAAAAGGTGGTAATGATCAACGTACATGAGTGCATCCCCATGGTTCTTTCTTAGTACTGCTTTTCCTTACATATCTTATCTTCAGGGCCCGATCTAGCCTATCTGGTCTGAGGGGTGCAGTACAAAAAAAGTCAGGGGGCAGACTGTTAACACTGTGCATGAGTCACTGAGAATCTGTCACACAATGTCACAACCTAGGAAACACTAGTGTGTATTAGGCTGACACAGAACCTACCCCCTTATTTCTGATGTCCCTATCAGAGTCCCACTTTAAATCAGGAGTCCTCACCAGAGTCCCCCTTTACACTGGGTTCCTATCAGCTTGCCCCCTTACATCAGGTGTCCATATCAGAGTGCCTCCATCAGAGTTCTCCCTTACATCAATTGTCCCCTACAGAGTGTCCCCTTACATCAGGGTCCCTATCAGAGTGCCCCCTTACATCAGGGTCCCTGTTAGGGTGCCTCCTTACATCAGGATCCCTATCAGAGAGCCTCCTTACATCAGGGTCCCTATCTGAGTGCTAACTTACATCAGTTGTCCCCATCAAAGTGCCCCCTTACATCAGAGACTCCATCAGAGTGCCCCCTTACATGAATTGTCCCCAACAGAGTGCCCCCTTACATCAGGGTCCCAGTCAGAGTGCATTCCTTATATCAGGGTCCCTATCAGAGTGCCCTTCTTTTATCAGGTGTCCCCATCAGAGCACCCCCCCCCTTACATCAGGTGTCATCATCAAAGTGCCCCCTTACATCAGAGTCTCTATCAGAGTGCCCCCTTACATCAGAGCCTCCATCAGAGTGCCCCCTTACATCAAGGTCCCCATCAGACTTCCCTCTTACATCAGGGTCCCAATCAGAGTACCTTCTTATATCAGGTGTCCCCATCAGTGTGCTTCCATCAGAGTTCTCTCTTGCAGCAACTGTCCCCAACAGAGTTCCCCATTACATCAGGGTCCCTATCAGAGTTCTCCCTTACATCAGGGTCTCAATCAGAGTTCCCCTTTTCATCAGGGTCCCCATAAAAGTACCCCCTTACATCTCCATAAGAATGCCTCCATCAGAGTTCTCCCTTACATCAACTGTCGCCAAAAACGTTCCCCCTTACATAAGGTTTCCCTATCAGAGTTGTGAGGGAACCCTTACATCAGGGTCCCTATCAGAGTGCCCCCTTACATTAGGTGTCCCCATCAAAGTGCCCCCTTAAATCAGACTCTGCATCAGAGTGCCCCCTTCCATCAACTATCCCCAACAGAGTGCCCCCTTACATTAAGGTCCCTATCAGAGTGCACCCTTACATCAGGTGTCCCCAACAGAGTGCCCCCTTAGATATAATCCGTTATCCCCATCAGTGCCTTCTTACATCAACTGTCTCCATCAGGCTGACTCATAGATTATTGGATGCACTCTCAGAGACCTGGGGAGGGAGGGGCACAGCTACAATCAAGGTGGGCACAGCCCACCCCACACCCCCCTAGATCCAGCCATGCTTATCTTGCTACAGTTTTACCAGAAAGGGTCTCTGAATGAAGTGATAAACTCCTTGAAGTTTCTGAAAATGTAAAATATTCACAAAGTTCCTGGTAACCATGGGATTTAACCTTCCTAGACTTTAGGTGGCGTTAGGTAGGGTGCAGATGTTCATTGCAGCAAATAGTCATTTTTTGGTGCTCTGTTTGGTACAGGTACTGCACATGGCTCTTTACATTCAGTTTGTTACTGCTTTACATGCTTTACACCCTCCTGAGTTATTTTTGGAGTGCTGCTCCTATATTTAAGAATCTGAAATTGCCCAGAATAAACCCATTTTCCTCTCCCTTTTTTCTTTGTAGGCTAGCATTCATTTGGCTTCCATGTGGCCCCTTGTGGTACCAGAAAATGTATATTGTATAGGGCGCGCTTGTTGGAGCCCAACCTCTGTAGCTGTAAGATAAAGGTGCCAGATGGATATCAGGGATGGATGGATGGGAGCAGTAACACTTAGGCAGCTCTTCTTAGAGTGGAAGCAAGGTTCTAATGCAGTAACAAGAAAAAGAGAGGAAGGCTCTTCAAAAATGAAGCTTGGAGAGCAGAGTCAGATGTAGCAGGTGAAGGGGGCGGTAATGCATGCTCAATAGACTCCTTCTTCAGACCATCTGACTCTGCTCTCCAAGCTTCATTTTTGATGCACAGGCACATCCTGGACTCTACTTCCTGATCCTATAGGCATAGTTTTCTGCTGGACGGCTGGATGTCCCACCTGGATCTAATTACCACACGATGAGCCTTTTTAACCCTTTATCTTGTAAGTGCAAATTTTCCATTGTTTACTGAATAAATTGTCAATACTGCACTTAGAGGTGCCTTCCTCTCTTTTTCTTCCCCTTGTGGTACCACCTATCCTTTAGATCATATGTTAATGCATGATTGGCCATTGTGCCATATCTGGAGATTTAGAGGCATATTGGATGGGTGACATTGCACATCAATGCAGCATTCATCCTGAGGAAGCAACTATTGCGAAACGTGTCAATACTTTACGCTGCCTCTATGTGATTGTTACACATCTCAGGTTTACTATTGGATGACTTTTTATGTTTATATGGTACATCTGGATTTGGATTTTAATGTTTATAAACAATAAATATTGGTTTTATCTGTATAATTATTTGTCATCAAGATGGCTTCCTGAGGTTCAATCAAAATCCCACAACTTTTCCCCCTTGATGTTATGGGTTTTTCTTCTACTATACTACTTACTCCAGGGATGGTACCTCATGGGTGGTTTAGTTGATATGGTGACCCCACCCTATTTGACCTTTCATTTATAGTAGTCATTTTTATCATCTGTATTGGTAATATGCACGTGTGTTTTACTGATTCAGGATTTTACTGATTGCAGGGTAAGTGCAGTGACCCTTCACTAGGCTTAGATTCTATTTCCGGGACGTTTTGTAACAGCATGTGTCTCCTGTCACAGCTAGATTTCCACTTTGCTCCCTGTCTGGCACCATGCATCTCCCTCTTGCAATGACTCCAAATTTGTGTTGGAATCTATAATATGAATGCACAGGAAGTACAGAACCTGACTGGGAGGATTTTGAAGAGGCGTTTACAGAACTATTAGGGTAGGGGATGGGGACCCATTAAGGATAGGAGCACTGTACCCTATAATGATAGACCCTATAATGCGCATACCCTATAATGATAGACCCACTTTGAGCATCAAGCCCATCTAAAATATTTCCATTTTGTGAGGTGGCTTGCATGACTTATTACATCCTGGGTTTTTGTACCTGTCACAGTCAAGTGGTGAAATCTTCCCACCAGGTTTCTCAATACTCTGAGAATTCATTAGAGAAATACACATGGAATCCAGCCACCAGAGAGTCACTCGTTTTTTGCATTGGAGGAGAGAAACAAACCAAGTAGAATACTCTGGCTAGTAGCTTCTCCAGCCCTGGTGAAAGGAAAGAAAATTGTATAATCTTTGGGCTGCTTTCAGTGTGGACCTGCTTAAACCTAGCTTAACCCTAACCTAACGTAACGTAATATCCTACCCTTCCCTGGACTCCCCACCATTCTATTTCTCTCTGAACCGCATTACTTCCATGAATGGTGGAATTCACCCCTTCCTCGCACAATGCAATGCTAAGTCTTTGAGTGTCTGGTCACCAAGCTTTCTCTGTCCCATGGTTGTTGGGGAGGGTTCTTAGCGCTTATCATGCTCCCACTAGGCTTCCCTGAAACTTAGCTTTTTCCGGGTATACCACATTGGAAGTGGCTATACAAAAGCATGGGGAGGATAAGATGAAGTTGTGGAGGGGAGGTCAAATGAGCAAACATGTTACTTTGCCCTTAAAGCACAACTAAATGTTCCTGTATAACAGTCTAAATAAGTATCAAATCCAGTTACTATGTGATGCAGAAGCCTCATAAAGTCCACTCTTTACATCTGGAGGAAAAGAGATTTAATCTCCAAATACGGAAAGGTTTCTTCACAGTAAGAGCTGTGAAAATGTGGAATGGACTTCCTCAAGAAATAGTTCTGGCCAGCTCAGTGGATTGCTTTAAAAAAGGCCTGGATTATTTCTTGGATACACAGAATATAACTGGATACTAACATTTATAGGTAAAGTTGATCCAGGGAATATCTGATTGCCTCTCGGGGGATCAGGAAGGATTTTTTTCCCCTGCAGGAGCAAATTGGATCATGCTTTGCTATTTTTTTGCCTTCCTCTGGATCAACTGTGGGTATAGGATTATAACTTTTATTTTTTCGTTGAACTGGATGGACTTTGGTATTTTTCTCCAGACTATGTAACAAAAAATTATTTTACCTTCCATGTCTCACATGCTCTCCCTCCAGGATGCTGCAGCTCACAGTGGGAGGGTTTCGCCAGAAAAGACTGTGATGCCAATTCAGAAATCAGTGTGTGGAGCTAGGTGTGGCGAGGTGCTGATTTACAGGCTTGTGAATCAGCAGTGATAATTTTAACAGCCACGCCCACCTATGACAACTTCTCATTCCATTGTAGTGCAAGTGGGCATAGCCTACATGAGAAGAGCAGGAGCAGTGCAGAATTGTTGCCACCCCATCACAGGAAGCTGCATTAGGTGGACTTCACTGGCAGGATCAAGAGGTATTTGTGGGACTTTTCGGGGGTATAGGAAAACTTTAATTGCAGACCCTGCATTCACTCTATCTGGTCTCCCACAGTACACACAACATGGAAGTGCAATTATTTTAGTAAATATAAACTGCTAAATACCTTTTCATCATCAGAAGTTAGAACAGTCTTGTGACTTCTACAAGTGTCCAGCAGAGCACATGTTAAAGCTTGTAGGAAGAGTTTTCATTCTCCCCTGATTGTCCCATGAAGCTGCAGGACCCCTGACCACCTGTCTGGACAGCGCTGATTCGCCTTGTGCTGATCACATGCACTCTCTTAAGAAAAAAACTCTCTAGCAATACACACCAAACTGAGCATGTGCAGCCTGGCTCCAAGGCTCTGTTCTATCAGCAGATGGATTGGGGACATTTAAAAGAAGGGGAGGATCGGAGAAGACAGGATAAACAATGTTTTGATGCCGAGGATTAACCCCTTAGGTTTCACAGTGAGTATAACAAGCATGCTTTACTGGATATACAGACTGATTTTACTGTTGTGGGTTTAGTAACACTTTAAAGCTAAACTCCAGATATGATCTTAAAGTAAAACTAGAGGCAAAACTTTTTTTCATTTTGGGTAGAGTAAGGGAGGGTATTAACCCCTGTCAGTTTGTTTTTTCCCATCTGTGTCCCATTGGGGAGATTTCCCTTCACTTCCTATCCCATAGCCAAAAGAGGAAGTGAGAGGAAATCTTGCAAATAATGAGAATCTGTTGGGGATCCGCAGGTCACCCGAATTAGTGTTCCTATTGGGAGATTTCCCCTCTATTTTCTGGGAACAACCCAAAATTTGGGATTTCCTTTTACTTTCCCTTTCAATAATAAAGTAAATAGGACACATGGAAAGGATGAATCTCCCTAATGGGGGCATAGAAAATGTTTAAAAAAAACTGACAGGTGTTCTAATCCCTCTCCACTCTATCCAAAACTAAAAAAGAAAATAAAAAAAATAAAAAAAAGTTTTTCCCTTAGTTAAACTTTAATTGCACACTAGCTTAGTACAGTGTAAATATGTATATTTCATAGCTGAGGGACCGCAATGGAAGCTGACAATCATTGTAGTAGTTGCTGCAATCCTCTGGGTTCTGCTGTTCCCTTTTATTAATATAAGGCATTCTCTGATTGGATGAGGTGAAAATTGTGACATCATGACTGCTCCTCTCTACATCCTATATGATTCAGTTATTTTTTGGGTATCCAGGCAGCTGCTGGTGTCATGGCTGTTTGAATGCAATCACTGGAAGAGGAGATTTCTCCATCCATGCTCTTTAGAAGTGATTCATTTCTCTCATTCAGTCCATGGGGGTGAACAAGAGAAATCTAACAGTGTATGGCTAGTCTTACACTCTACAATCTTTGTACAATCTTCTTTATATTTACCAACAGCTATGTAGTGTGAGGGCCTGCATTACTGTATACAAATTAAACTGTTACTAAACCCACAACAGCAAAATCAGTCTGTATATGCAGTAAAAGATGCTTGTTATGCTCACTGTGGAACCTAAGGGGTTAATTCTCTGTATTGTGTAAAAAGGCTGTTTGATCCTGACTTCTGTGCTCATGATCCTGACTTCTGTGCTCCTCCTCTTGTTCAAATGTCCACCACTTATCTCCTGATAAGACAGACTGAACTGTAGCCATTCTGCACGTGCTCAGTTTAGTGTGTATTGCTAAAAAGGTTTTGTGTTTTCTTGGAAGAGTGCATGTGATCACCACAGGGCCAATCAGCACTGTCCAGACAGAAGTCAGGGGTTTTGCATCCTTCTAGAGCAGAAAGAAAACTCCTCCTACAAGCTTTAACCAGTGCTCTGCTGAACACTGATAGAAGTCACAAGACTGCTCTAACTGCTGATGAGAAAAGGTATTTAGCAGTTTATAATTACTAAAATAATTTAATCTCTATGTTCTGTGTACTGTGGGAGACCAGATATAGTGAATGCAGGGTCCGGGGAGACCAGATATAGTGAATGCGGGGTTCGGGGAGACCAGATATAGTGAATGCGGGGTCCGGGGAGACCAGATATAGTGAATGTGGGGTGGGGGAGACCAGATATAGTGAATGCGGGGTCCGGGGAGACCAGATATAGCGAATGCGGGGTCCGGGGAGACCAGATATAGTGAATGCGGGGTCCAGGGAGACCAGATATAGCAAATGCAGGGTCCGGGGAGACCAGATATAGCGAATGCAGGGTCCGGGGAGACCAGATATAGCAAATGCAGGGTCCGGGGAGACCAGATATAATGCATGCAGGGTCCGGGGAGACCAGAAATGGTGAATGCAAGGTCCGGGGACACCAGATATAGTGAATGCAGGGTCCGGGGAGACCAGATATAGTGAATGCAGGGTCCGGGGAGACCAGATATAGTGAATGCAGGGTCCGGGGAGACCAGATATAGTGAATGCAGGGTCCGGGGAGACCAGATATAGTGCATGCAGGGTCCAGGAAGACCAGATATAATGCATGCAGGGTCCGGGAAGACCAGAAATGGTGAATGCATGGTCCTGGGTTTAGGAACACTTTAAGTAGCATGTTAACAAGGGTGGGGGGGGGGGACTAGGGAAGGCAAATTATAAGCAGAATAAACTTCAGTATAGTTTTAATCAGTCTGTATATAAAGTAAAGCATGCTTGTTATGCTAGCTGTGGAACCTAAGGGGTCAATCCTCCGCCTTGTGTAAAAAGGATACTTGATCTTGTTGTCTCCGATCCTCCTATTGTTCTACTGTCCCAAATCCATCTGCTGATAGAACGGAGCCTTGGGGGCAAGCTGCACATGCTCAGTTTGGTGTGTATTGCTAGAGAGTTTTTTTTTTTCTTGGGAGAATGCATGTGATCAGTACAGGGCCAATCAGCGCTCTCCAGACAGAGGGTCAGGGGTTATGCAGCCTCATGGGACAATCAGGGGAGAATGAACACTCATCCTACAAGCTTTAACCAGTGCTCTGCTGAACACTGATAGACATCACAAGACTGCTCTATCTGCTGATGAGAAAAAGTATTTAGCAGTTTATATTTACGAAAATATTTGCATTTCTATGTTGGGTGTAATGTGAGAGACCAGGTATATTGAATGCAGGGTCCTGGGTTTAGGGACACTTTAAGTAAGTTTTGTAAGTTTACCTTCATGTTAATTTGGTTGTTAAATCTGAAGAACACAGATGGTACAATCAGATTGTAGCATGCATGGCCAACTTCAGCCAGCTCTTAAAACAGACGCAGACATAAATGGGCAGATTCTGATTTGAGAATATTAAATCCACATTTCAGTATTACAGAATGTAATTGTATCATTGTGTAGAATAAAGATTTCTGGCATTATGCGCTTGGATCCAGACATGGTCACATGTGACTGTCACAGCATTGGTTACACTTTTTGGGAATGCAGTTGTGAAGAATATCAGAGTCTGTGGTATTGACTCCCCCTGGTGACGAATATGCTAACTTCATTTTAACAGCAGATGGATCTAATTTAGCTGCATTGCCGCACAAAAGACTTACAATAAAACAAATATTACCAGGATTTGACTTTTTCCAAATAACGAGGGCTGACGGCATGCCAGCATCCACAGTCCAATGTGTAAGCAATATTTTCTGTGACACTCAACAGCTTCATTTTAAAACCTGGTGTGAGGTCAGCTTGTTCACAATGCTGGCAAAAACAAAAATACAAAAATTCCAGCTATTGCTTTTATCTTTTATTTTTCACTTAAAGTATCACTCCAGTTAAAAAAAAATTAATAGCCCAATGCAAGATAAAATAAAAAAGCAGCCTTTGATGCAATACTTTTTTGTAGTTTGGAACTGCCCCATGCAGTACTTCCTTTTCGCCACAAGATGTCTTTTTGGGCTGACTGATGTCCAGTATCCTTCAACCTGCTTCCTCTGAGCCCAGTGTGTCTTGTACCCACCTTCAGACTGTGACTTAATAGTGAAGGAGAAACACAGGACATTGATGAGCTCACCTCTCTATCACCCAGTTCTGGCTTTCATTATGATGCCTATATTAACCACTTCAAGAGCGCATCTTTATTTATTATTTATTTATTTCAGGTACTTATATAGCACTGTCAATTTACGCAGCGCATTACACATATATATATTGTACATTCACATCAGTCCCTAACCCTCAAGGGGCATACAAACTAAGGTCCCTAACTCACATTCATACATACACATATTAGTGCCAATTTTAGACAGGATCCAATTAACCTACCAGCATGTCTTTGGAGTGTAGGAGGAAACCGGAGCACCCGGAGGAAACCCACATAAGCACAGGGAGAACATGCAAACTCCATGCAGGAGGCACCATGGTCAGGAATCGAACCCATGAGCCACTGTGCCGCCCCACTTTCACCTACTTTCACCCCCTTCCAGTCCAGGCCAATTTTCAGCTTTCAGTGCTGTCACACTTGTCATGCAATAGTGTACCCATATGGGAATTGTCATCATTTTTTGAGGCAGAGCTTTCTTTTGGTGGTACTTGATCACCAGTGGGTTTTTTATTTTTTGTTATATGAATAAAAAAAATTGCAAATTTACAACATTTCTTCATAAATGTAGGCCAAAATGTGTTCTGCTACATTTTTAGGGTAAGTCTACAAACTATGGGATATATGTTTGAAAATTGATCAGTTAAAACCCTAAAATGCCAGATGCTGGTATGATGTATGACAGTGATCAGAATGCTTGTATGGGGTATGATGATGATCAGGTTGTTAGCATGAGGTATGGTAGTAATCAGGGAGCTGGTATGGGGAATGGCAGTGATCAGAATGCTGATATGGAGTATGACAATGCTCAGGACACTGGTATGGGGTATGGTAGTGATCAGGACACTGGTATGTGGTATGGCGGTGATCAGGATGCTGGTATGGGGCATGGCAGTGATCAGGATGCTGGTATGGGGCATGGCAGTGATCAGGATGCTGGTATGGGGCATGGCAATGATCAGGATGCTGGTATGGGGCATGGCAATGATCAGGATGCTGGTATGGGGCATGGTAATGATCAGGATGCTGGTATGGGGCATGGCAATGATCAGGATGCTGGTATGGGGCATGGCAATGATCAGGATGCTGGTATGGGGCATGGCAAT